GGTTATAAATTGGCGGACTACCAATGAGGGGACCGGTACCTTCCATACAAATTAATAACAAAATTCGTTTATAATGCAAATAAATAGAACTATATTCTTCAAATTTTGCACGAAGAACTTTAATATTCATCTGAACATTTTGTTAAAAAACAGGGAGATGAAAAATAGAAAAATTCGCATATCTGAGAAATTATTAGAGCTAGAATTTTACATGAAGAACTTTGATATTCATATGAACATATTGAGAATAACGTGCAGACAATTGAGAATAACGTGCAGGCACCTCCCATATGAATTAAATACAAAATTTCGTTTATCTGGGACACTAATAGAATTAGATTCTTCAAATTTTTCACGAAAAACTTTACTATTCATCAGAACATTTTGGAGAAAAAAGGGCGGACATTCATCTGGAGGGGCTTGGAGCCTCCATATGAATTAAATACAAAAATTCGTATATCTGAGAAACTATTAGGGCTAGAGTCTTCAAATTTTACATGAAGAACATTGACATTCATCTGAACAATTAATAACGGGCGGACTTTCAATGGGATGCTTGCCACCTCCCATATGAATTAAATACAAAATTTCATAGAACTAGATTCTTCAAATTTTGCACGAAGAACTTTAATATTCATCTGAACATTTTGGAAAAAAGGCGGACTTTCATTTTGGGGCTTGGAGCCACCATATGAATTAAATAGAAAATTTTGTATATCTGAAACTATAAGAGCTAGAATCTTAAAATTTTACATGAAGAACTTTGACATTCATGTGAACATTTAGAGAATAACGGGCGAACTTTCAGTTGGGGGCTTGGCACCTCCCATATGAATTAAATATAAAATTTCGTACATCTGGTAAACTATTAGATTATAAAAATTTTTCATAGATTAGATTCAAATCTTAATTAACGTTCGGGAAAATTGGCGACCTTGCAATAATTTACGTGGCATCTCTCATATGTAACAAATAGTATATGTGAAAAACTATTGTAGTAAGAATCTTCAAAATCGTTAAGTGGGTTTTTTATTTATATTGCTTTTAGGGTAGCAAAGCACACTGGGTATAGCTAGTCAATATCTTCCGTATTCATGAACCGAACCGAACTATATATACATATAATATATAATATGACCTCATTTATTAATCCATAGAAAACCAATCCCATAAAAAGTATGTTTTATGTAGAGTTTTTTGATAAAAGTGCCGTTATTTCAGAAATCCATCGATGTAACGGTAGCGATAAATATTAAAAGATTTTAAGCTTTCTTTTGATGTATACCTATATCTTAATAAATGGGTTCTTATCAAATTTTAAGAGGATATAGCCATGTTTGTTGAAACGTGAACTATAAGGCCAAAAAAATTTCAAATATATTTTTCTATTGTTACAGTTTGTTTGGTATTGAAAATGGAGAAAGTCTGAATTTGACCCCAGCCTCCATATAAGCTTCTTTTAGGAAATTTAATTTTCATAACTGACTTATAACTACAATTGCAGCGATAAAATTTGGCAAGAAAAAAGTTTTTTATAATTAAAAATTTCTATCAAATTTTGTAAGGACCGTTCCATAATTGACCCTAATAATAAAGGGTGTTTTAACAATAATAATTTTTAGTTGATTTAAAAAGAATTGGGACTAAATTTTTTTTGTATTAGGTGCTATAGTTACTGGAAAAACTGATCGTCACATTTTTAATGATTTGTTTCGGATTTTATGAACTTATTTTGTTGATTTTAACTTTCTAAAGCATGTCTGATAAAAATTATTGAAGATTTGGGTCCCAATGATATCTGGGGTCTTCTGAATTTTGATTTCAACTTAAATACGAACCAACAGAGGAACATAGCTTAATCGACTTCGCTATCTATAAGGATTCAGGAAATACATATCGCTCATTTACTACAATACTGGCATAATCCAAAATCAGGGGTTTTTGAACTGAACTCTTTCATATAGATTTCAAATAAGACCTTTATTTTCAGTGTGAGATTTATTGTAAATCATGTCTGTTCTGTAAATCGATTCGGTTTCAAAATCAAATTTTTAAATCCGAATTCGGTGTTCTGTAAATCAAATTTTTATTTCAACGTAAAATTCAGAAAAATAATCATATTTTAAAGGAAAAAGAGTTAAAAATGCCCATAGCATTTATATTAAGTTACAATTATATTAAGAAATGCATAAAGTAATTATTTAATTTGTTTTAATAAAATTAAAATCGATTTACTTTCGACTAGATTTGTGTACTCGGCTTTAAAACGAGAAAAATTGTTCGTTTTTAAACGAGAAATTTACTCGGATTCGGTTTACAGATCAGACAATAATGTAAAAAATTATGTTACAAATTAGATGAGAAATATATTAACCTCTACTATATGTATTTGGGTTCATTTTCGAAATCTCTTGATTTGTTTAAAAGTTATAAATATGTCATAAAAAATATAAAGCCATTTATCTCGAAACCCGTTTTTTGGAATATGCCAGTCTTTTAGTAATTGAGCGATATATACTTTATATGGTCTGATAATTATATTCCCATCTGTTCTGTAAATCGAATACGAATAATTTTTCTCGTTTAAAAACGAATTCGCATAAATTTTTTCGTTTTAAAACCGAGTACGCCAATCTAGTCGAAAATAAATCGAATGTAATTTTATTGTAATAAGTTAAATGATTATTTTTTGCGTTTTTCAGTACAATTGTATCTCAATGTAAATGCTATGGGCATTTGAAACTCTTTTTCATTTTCAATATTTTTATTTTTCTGAATTTTACGTTCAAATTAAATTTACAGAATACCAAATTCTGTTTTAAAAGTTTCTCGTATCTCCGCCCCGGAACGAACCGATTTTCAATCGGCCAAAGATTGTCAACTCAGCAACAGCTGTATTAACCGGAAGTTTTTTCCCCAGGGAAGAACATACAGTCACAGCCATTCTGTTACAACAATAGAACAGAAATTATTGTAAATATTAAACAAACTTTTGTATTCTTTTCACGAACGTGAAGGATATAATAAAAGTTAAAACTGCTGACTACAGAAACACTTACCCTTCAGGGATGGCAAATGGAATTTCAAAATTCTATAAGAATGTGTTAAAAATTATACTTTATTGAATCCGATTGTACTAAATCAATTTGTACGTATATTTTTGTCAATATTTAGAAAAACTATCTAAAACCAACTTTATTAGTGAGTAAATCAAACAACTTATTTTAAAAATTAAATGATCTCACCATATAGTACCTAAGACCATCCTTATGTTATTTATTCGGATGATAGACTCATACCAATTTCAATATTACAGTTTTTTTAATATTTATTTATTCATAAAATTCCTAATTACATATAATGTTATGCCTCAGCGCCTTATAGGCATTGTTGAGTTTATGTACCTATTAGCCCATAGATTAGACCAGAAAATAATTAGGTACATTTGACAATTGACTGGTCCATAACCAAGACTGTCTACAGATCCTCTATGGGCTGGACAATATAGTCTAGTATTTGTGCTATGCCGTATACTATTCTACAGACTAAAAAATAGTCTACATCATAGACCAGTCCAAACACTAAACAATAAACTAGTCTATAGAGTATTGCCTAGTCTATAGAGTAATGTACTAGACAATATAATGTCTATAGACAGGATAATAAATACATCAATCTAATAATAATCTAAGCTAGGGATGGCAAATGAAATTTTCAAATTGTACAAAATAGCATTGAATCAAATCGATTGTACCAAATCTATATTTTTGCAAATTTATATTAATATAATACAAAAGCTTTTCAAGCCAACTTTTTCAGCCAGTCAGAACTAATCAATTAATATTTGTATGTATCAATATTGCCTAGTCCATTGACTATATTGGCAATAGGCTATTCTATAGAATAGACGGGAGACTAGTCTATAATTTGACATTAAACTAGCATATAGTGTTTTTATACTAGTCCAAAGACGTCATAGAATAGTCCTTGATATATTTTAAAGGCCTAGTTATAAGTACTTTAAAACTAAAGATTAGTCATTAAACAAGTCAATAAATAAGGCCATTTAGTTAATACACTTGTTCTTAGACTAGTGAATAGACAGTCTATTGTCTCTCTATGGACTAGAGGATAGAGTAGTCTATAAACTAGACAAGAGACTAGTATATATATTAGACATTAGATTAATTTATTGTTTAATCTATAGAATTGTCCATATACTAGCCCAAATACTATAATAGAAAAGCGATTGAATATAAAATTAATCCTAAAAGATACTCTGCTGTCTGGTTACAAACTATTTTAGGATTCTTTACAATAGTCTCTTTCGACGTAAGTCCTTGTCGGTAGGTTCTTGAAAAGTACAATTTTTAAATTTTTATTTTAATAAGTGAATGTATTTTGAAATTGTACAAAATGGTTCATAGGTGTACAATTGTACTTTAGAAGACCTAATTGTAACAAAAAAAGTACAATTGTACCAATTTTGCCAACCCCGATCTAGACAAAAATTTTTACTAGTCCCACTAGTTATTCATACTCTGGTACCAAGAATAGTTAATAGATCAAACAACAGTCTAGTAAAAAGTACTTTAATCGTATATTCAAATTGCATTTAAAAAAAATATATGTATGTCAAATTTTCAAGTTTCTTAACAATATGAAAGAATTTAAACAAAAATTATGGGTACATATTAGTATTATTCCAAAGATTACTAAGTAATATTTCGACAGAAGTCGGAAGTTCTTCAAACTTTGTGTCACAAGTAACATTTTCGATTGCATTAACAAATTTAAAATTGTAAAAAAAGTTCATTACTGTAGAATTAGTCGAATTGTACCCAAAGAAAGTAAAATTGTACCAATTTTGACAACTCAATAAGAATTCAAACTTCTTTTATAAATAGATCTTCAGTATTTTACAACTGACAACATAAATAGAGATCTGGTTAGAAATTTTCAACTTACCTTTTAATTTTTTATTCCAAAATATCGATTTCAAATTATTATTGTTCCAATTGTAAATGATTTGAAGGGTTTTAATTTTTAGCACTAAAAATCCAATAGGAATTTTTGTCTTTCTATTTAAGGACTTGATTTGGTAATTAAGGTTTGATTAAAATTTAATTAGGGGTTCAAAACATTTATTTTTAAAATTCTTTTCATTGTTTCAATGGCAACCCTTTTGATTTAATTAAACACAGGTTGCAAAAATACAAAAAAATAAATATAAACGACACAAAACAATTTTATTTATTTCTTTATTTATTTTGTGGTTACTTCTTGTGTGTATTTGTTTTTGTTATAATTTTCGGTAAATTTTTGTAGTTGCTGATGTTATTGTTGTTGTAATTTGCTTGAGTAGACTTCTCTCACGTCTACACTAATTTTTGTGTTGTTTGCTTTGCGTTTATTTTTATTATTTTTCTTTTATTTTGTTGTTGTAACATGAAAAACTTTAAAACACCGGGTTTTTTATAGTTGTTGTGTTTGTTGTTATTGTGGCTGGAATTTTTGTTTGCAAAAACGAAAAAATTAAGAAACAAATAACGATAAATTGTAGTAGAGACTGCTAAAATAAATTAATGACAGTTGTCAGACAGTTTCTTTTGCTTTTTGCAATTAAATTTTTCATGTGACAATAGCAGGTGTGTTTTTCTTTGTATACGAAAAAAAAAAACAACACACACACAACAGAATTTGCACAAATTTTATGTTAAAGAATTTCACAGTAATTTATTTTTATTTAATTTTTTTAATAACTTCAAATGACGGCCAAGTTTAGTTTTTCTATACAATAAATTTATTTTTTTGATACATAAAAATAAAACTTCTTATTTTTCACATAAAAAACTGACAGCCGTAGCAGAAAAAAAAAACACTTTTTCACATTGAAAATATACACACACACACTAAAACACTGAGTGCAAAAACAAAATACAAAGAAAATAAAATGGGCAAAAAAAAGGTTTTAACGCCGGCAGCGCAGCTTCTTTTGTATTTCATTTATTCGCTCTCACACTTTTATTTTACTTTTCAAATTTGATTTGTTTTCTACCAACAAAATCAACCAATTTTTCAGATTCTTTTAATTTTCTTTCACTTTTTTTGCTTACTGTAATTTTTTTATTAATTTTCTTTATGCTAATTTTGGTGAGCGGCTTTTTGTTATTTCGCTTGGCATTGATTTCTTTCAATTATTAAACTTTTTCTAAATTTAATTATTTATAATTAAATTAATATTTGTTATTTTCTATTAGTAGTTGTTAGTTTTTTTCTACTGATTTTCTTTCTGCACTTTAATTTGCAGCCGCTTTTAATTAAACACACTGTTGTAACGACACACTCTCACGGAATCCACACGTCTTGCGAGTTTGACAGCTAAAAACGGACTAAATACAACAAACAACGATTGTTATCGTTAGGCTTGCCATATCAAAGATTTGTGTGTAAGTTAGTGCTGCCAGAAATTAAAGTTCAAATAAAAGCGGAAAAGAAATCACTTGTTTATGTTTAATGAAAACAATAAATATTGAAAAATTTAAAGTATTGAAAATGATATTTAATTTCTATAAAAATTGATTAAATTGTTAAAATACCGTTTCAATAATTTTAAAATTATTTTTTACTCTTATATGTCAATTGAATCATGCAGTTTAAAAACGAGTACTCATAATTTTTCTCGTTTTAAAACTGAGTATACAAATCTAGTCGAAAGTAAATAGAATTTAATTTTATTCTAATAAATTAAATAATTATTTTTTGCGTTTATTAATGCAATTGTAACTTAATATAAATTCTATGGACATTTTAAACTATTTTTCATTTAAATATGTTTATTTTTCTGAATTTTACGTTCAAATAAAAATTCGATTTGCAGAACACCAAATTCGGTTTTAAAAGCTTTTCGGTTTTGAAAACAGATCGATTTACAGAACAGATATGGTAAACCTACATCTAACCAACTTCTTTTCTTATGCAATTATTACTATTAAAACACCCGAAAAGTTACTGAGATAAGACTAAATACAGTAACCGCTAAAGTACCGTAGCCGTAACAAGCATAAATATCGTTACCGATATATTTTTAAAATTTTGAACGGTTTCCAGTCTTGATTATACAAAAAAACACTCGGAAAGTTGAAAAATTCGAAATTCGAAGAGTTGGAAAATTTCGAATAAGTCGAAAAGTTGAAAAAAATCAATAAACTCGATATTAAACACAAGTCCAATTTTCATAAAATGCATAAAGTTGAAAAATTATAAAGTTGAAATATTATTATTCAAAAATACAGAAAGTTGACTTTTTGTTTGAATTACAGGACCCTACTATAAGTCTTAAATTTATGACTTAAAAAATCAATTTAAAAGTCGAAAAGTTGAAAGCTTGGAGAAAGTCGAAATTATTATATTAAAAAAGCTCAAAAAGTCAAAAATCTTAGAATTGTAAAAAGTCGGAAAGTTGAAAATTCGAAATTTTTTCCAAAAGGTCGGTAAAAGTATAATTCTTTTGGAATTACATTTTACGAAATTGATTTTGCAGGGTAATAACCAAAATTCGTTCAAAATCTAAGACTTTGATTTGAACAAAGATTTGAACTACTTAGGACTGAACTAGAACTGTATAAGAACTGAACTAGTATAACTAGAACTAACCTACAACAGAACTAGAATTGAACTAGAACTGAACTAGAACTGAACTAGAACTGAACTAGAACTGAACTAGAACTGAACTAGAACTGAACTAGAACTGAACTAGAACTGAACTAGAACTGAACTAGAACTGAACTAGAACTGAACTAGAACTGAACTAGAACTGAACTAGAACTGAACTAGAACTGAACTAGAACTGAACTAGAACTGAACTAGAACTGAACTAGAACTGAACTAGAACATGACTGAACTAGAACTGAACTAGAACTGAACTAGAACTGAACTAGAACTGAACTAGAACTGAACTAGAACTGAACTAGAACTGAACTAGAACTGAACTAGAACTGAACTAGAACTGAACTAGAACTGAACTAGAACTGAACTAGAACTGAACTAGAACTGAACTAGAACTGAACTAGAACTGAACTAGAACTGAACTAGAACTGAACTAGAACTGAACTAGAACTGAACTAGAACTGAACTAGAACTGAACTAGAACTGAACTAGAACTGAACTAGAACTGAACTAGAACTGAACTAGAACTGAACTAGAACTGAACTAGAACTGAACTAGAACTGAACTAGAACTGAACTAGAACTGAACTAGAACTGAACTAGAACTGAACTAGAACTGAACTAGAACTGAACTAGAACTGAACTAGAACTAAACTACAACTGAACTAGAACTGAACAAGAACTGAACTAAGATTTAAAAGCCGACAGTTTCAAAATTGTAAAATAGTTAAAACAAAAATTACTTTTCATAAGATTTAAAAGGTTTAGTTAATGAAAACGGTAATGAACTAATGTTATTCATAGTCAGCGAACGGTATTGCCGTGTAACCGCCTTATCGTCAATAAGAGACTGCCTTACCTCATATGTAATTAGTTGTAGTGGTTGTTGTCTGCAATTGTACTCTCTTATCTAATTCAACAATCATTCACAATAGCTCATTTGTTTAATTTATTAAATACTGCTTTAAATTTTTAATTTCGTTGTAAATGATTTTATTTAAAATTTACATATTTTGCACTTAACTAATATTAATATGTATTTTATTACAAAAGAGTAAAATTTATATACAAAAAAATAACTAATTTTATACAAAGCAACATAAGCTAAATTAATTAACTAAAATACATATCAAAGAGTATAAGAACAGATAAAATATATCACCACCATACAAATAATTTACAAAAATTTTCTTTACAAAATAAAATCACTCTTCCACATTGACATCCATTAGTTCTTTAGTGATTTCGGTTTTTGTTTTTCCTGTAGGTTTATGCAGCAAAACCTGCAATTCTTCTACATTCGAGGGAGCTTTGAAAGTTTTCAATCTCTCCTGCAAATGGGTGGCAGCACTTATTTCTCCCGGCTTTAAGGTACTCTCAGTAGATGTGGCTTGTTCAGGTTCTGGCGTTGAACTGGTAGCCATTTTGTATAACATTTGTAATTGTCTTAAGGTTTGTTCAGGCATCTGGGGCATGGCTGGTGGCATTTCCGCTGGTTTATTGGCAATTTGTTTTTTGCTTGTTTTAACCTTCTTCTTGGAATTGTTGGCATCATTTGACCATTTTTCCAACCAAGTGGCAGCAGAACGTTCTGTTGAGCTCATCTCATGTTGTACTCGTAATTGTTGACGCTTATTAACTTGTCTCTTATTGAAGGAAGAGCCGTCGGAATCATCTGTATCTCCTATAGGCCGGGTTTCTTTTTGTGGTCCCAATTCGAGTAGTACTTGAAAATCAGCATGTTCTCCTAGTCTGAAACCAAAACCTAGACGAGAATCGGTACCTGAAGGAGGAATATAGAGAAATTAAAATTTTTATCAGTGTATACATGTAGATTGTAGCGGGTAATGTTATATCAGACCTTTTTTAATTGGTGGTATATTGGAGTAAACCAGTGATAGAATCGAGGGCAATTCATTGGGAACGATTAGAGCTTCTGATTGTTGAACTGTAAGAAGAAAAAATATATTAAAAGTTTTTAATTATTATTAAGCATTTTCATGGATATATGTAGGAATAATTAAAACTGTTACAACAACTACAACCGGGAATTGAAACTACCTGACACTCCTAAAGTTCCCAAGGGTTATTTATGAAAAAAATTAAACTAATTTAAATTATTTGATTCCAGATTATTGGATGTTTATAGAAATTAGATAAGTTTGAACGATCTTTGTTACAGAACCGAACAACTTGAGCAAATGAAGGTTCTTCCTGTCAAGGAAGACAACGTTATGTTGACAAATCCGTTGTTCCTGAGATGTAATAGTGGAGTCATCTTAACCTTAATACAAAAGCAAGATCCCCGAAGGATATTAGGAAGAAACCTCGTGTATACGAGGAAATCTTTTGTAGTTAGCTGCAGGATTCGTTGGTAGTTCTGAACGACATAAAGACGTCAGCAAGGGTCGCTTGGATCATATGAATGCCTGAAGAAAACCTGCCACGGAAAACTGGAGCACATATGAAAATAGAGCAACAGTCTTCATATCTAATATATATGAATGCTAGCCCAACTTGTAACCAGGGTCCCCATAAAACCGCCATACTTTAAACTCCTCAGCTAAACCTACTTCAATATGTTCAGGAATAAATGGGCGAATAATGTTGAAGTAGCGTAGTTTTAAGGATTGGACCTCGTTGCTGAATCCGCGGATTATATGACAGTATTGGCTTAGCTGTAACAGCAATAACTAATTTCGATCTTTAACTATTTTTGAGACACTATTGACTTCAGATTAGATGATCTTAGAAGGTCGAAAGACACTGTCTAGGACTTGTTCCACTTTTTCTTACTTTCTTGCTTTTGCAAGAAGTCTATAAAGATAGTCTTCCACTCATTAGATATTTAAGACAAAAGTCACAAGAATTGAATCCAAAGTTTTGTTACCGTTTAAAGAAGACCAATATGTTGACTATTTTTTTCCTAAAATACTGGACTTTTCTGGTTCCAGAAAGGGAAATTGTTCTGAACACTAGTTGGAGGGGTACATAGAGCGATATGAATCCTCTTGAGTAGCGATTTTGCTCGCTTAAAAAAGATGAAAAAATGAGAAATTAATTATTGGAAAGTTTCCAGATTGAATCTTATCATAGAATTAAGTC